ATCGCTGCTCGCAGCTATATTAATTATTATTTTACTACCTTTTGGGCACTTTTGGGGCCCTTAACGTGCTCGAAAACTCTTGAAACTTTGCACACGGGTCAGAACCCGCGGCCATCAGAGCCGGGCTGAAGCTGGTACCCGGGCGTGGCAGGGCGGCTCGTCAGCGCCCCCTGGAACGGGGTCCGAACACTTGGTCCATAACTCAAACACGCTTGTATGTAATAATATGAAACTCGGTACACATGTTGATCTCATCGTTTCATCTATACCTCACACTCTTACTTTTTACCCCAGCCCAACAGGAAGTCGGCTATTGAGGTTTGTTTGTAAAACGCTCGCAATGGAATGTCAAATACTCCTCCTAGAGCTTTGATCCAAATTCGACGAAACTCGGTCAGCGTGAAGTCAAGACATTGAGGATGAAAGTTTGCGAGGGGATTTTTTATATCTCGAACGGTTTGTCCGTGGCGAGGAAACGAAATCATGGCGAGAAACGTGAAACAGGAAGTGTGTTATAACTTCAGCATACATTAACTGATCTTGATGAAACTTCAGCAGTGTGTTCGCTGTAAGAGGACGATCACATGGATGTGACTATTGTGAGTCAAAGTTATAGCGCCACCAACTGGCAGCAGGAAGTGTGTCACTTTCAAAATGCTTTGATATCACCCTTTTATTTTTACCCGATTTGCTTCAAACTTCATATGTATAATGTAAACATACGGCAGATGTAGACCTGTGAATGGATTCTTGATATCTTTGAAACTGTTGCCGTGGCGACGCATCAAACTTTACCCTTCTTTTAGGATGCTTTTAGGATGCTTTTGAGACCCTTAGCATGCTTCAAAATGCATGAAACTCGACAGACACATCACATTTATTAGCCAGTAGACATGTGCAAAGTTTCAGAAACGGGCGTGGTGAGGGCTCAGTAGCGCCACCTTTTGACAAAAGTGGGGTTGTTAGTTTTAACTAGAGTTACAAAAATTGGTATGTATATTGTACTCCTCGAGCCGGACAACTTTCTAATTTACACTTATTAGCTAGGACCCACAGAAAGTCAGATATTTTTGTTTGAATGTGGTCTTGCTTAATCTGAGCCTACATCTCTGTCTTTGGCCTGTCTGTGTGTGTGTGAGTGTGCAGGGGGAGGGGGCTTAACCATTTCACTGCTGTGTGTATGACCTGCATAAAGAAAATACATTTCTCAAGCCTGGTATTTTTTAAATAAGTTTTTATTTTTATTTTTTATAAGTAAAGACATATAACTAGTTTAATTGTAGTGCATTGACAATAGTTTTATATAATTAGTTTATTAATCAGATTAACTTGGTCAATAAACTTGGTCTGAAAATTTGGTCCATAAATCAAACACACTTGCATGTAATAATATGAAACTTGGTACACATATAGATCTCATCGTTTCATATATAGCCTACTTCACACTCTTACTTTTTACCCCAGCCCAACAGGAAGACGGCTATTTAGGGTTGTGTTTAAAACACATGCAATGGAATTTAAAGTATTGCTCCTAGAGCACTGAACCAAATTCGACAAAACTCGATCAGCGTGAAGTCAAGACATTAAGGATGAAAAGGTGCCAAGGGATTTTTTATATCTCGAACGGTTTGGCCGTGGCGAGGAAACGAAATTATGGCGAGAAACATGAAACAGGATGTGTGTTATAACTTCAGCATACATTAACTGATCTTGATGAAACTTCAGCAGTGTTTTCGCTGTAAGAGACCGATCACATGGATGTGACTATTGTGAGTCAAAATTATAGCGCCACCAACTGGCAGCAGGAAGTGTGTCACTTTCAAAATGCTTTGAAACCACTCTCTTATTTTTAACCGATTTGCTTCAAACTTCATCTGTATAATGTAAATACACGGCAGATGTAGACCTGTGAATGAATTTTTGATATCTTTGATACTGTTGCCGTGGCAACGAATCAAACTTTAACATTCTTTTTTGATGCTTTTGGGACTCTTAGCATGCTTGAAATTGCTTGAAACTCAACAGATACATCACATTTATTAGCCAGTAGACATGTGCAACTATGGCAAAAGATTAAAGTAATGTCAAAAAAGTAAACACTAAAAGCCTCATATCTTCTAAAAATGTAATTATACATCATTTGTTTCTAAATTAAATTATACAAATATTATAACTTCCCCAATTTTTCCTTTTTTTCATTTAAGAATTATGTTTACGTTCAAAAACAGCCAGAATTGTTGTAAAATTCATAAAAAAATAATAATCTGAGTCATACGTAGTGCTATACTGCCCTCTTGTGTTCAATATCAGGTAGGCCTATTGTGTATATTCCCACCGGTTAATCAACGTGTGACTCCGCTGGGACTTGGGAGCTTTTAAATCGCTTACTTAAAACCGAAAGTCGAAATACGGATGTCCGCACAAGACATTAATGGTGTGGAGTAGAGCGAGCATTTTAAATAAATTCCTATTAAGTAGGATTGAACTAAACAGAAAGAATGTTCACTCTGTTCTGCTGGTTCCTCGCTGGTGGATCATATGATTACTTTGTCATAATCTATGACAAAAATGCTATTATAAACCATATTAATAATAGATAATACACATTGCTCTTATTTTTGAAAAATACATTCATGAAAAACAAGATAACAAAAATCATAAAAAAATATAGCCATGGCTGCTATAAATGTTTGAAATGCATAGGACAGATGTTTAATGACGCAGCAACATATAATTGAAAGGCAATTAATAATCTGTCATTACGTCACTGCATTATGATATTACGGCTCCAATACGGTGCAGCACAAAGCACTTATGTGCATCCCGAGCGGAGAATGATGTGCTTGAAGCCACATGAAGTTACAGCGCAGTGAGTCCGTATTGAAAAGTTCAAAGCACAAAGGAAATACATATTTATGAACAGTGTATTATACATTATCTATCTATGCAATAGTTTATTGAGCCTTTTCTTTTAAAGGTTTTAAATTTCAGTTACTGTGTGCGTGAAGAACAATTATAGTGCTCTGACTCTAGTGTTGTGATCTAACCGACAGCGTCCGACACCCGGTAGAAAGTAACACGGTTAAGTTACAGCAATAAAGTCCAGCAAGAAAAAGTTTCTTCATTCGAAAATATAGACCTTTAGACCTTTATCTTAAAGATCCAGTATAATAGGATTAACATTCAATCATCTTGAAGATCGTTTCATCATTGACTGTAACCGAATGTGACGTGCTGTTTGAATGCTGAATGGAGAATGACTGACAGGCGCAGAGAGGGAAAAGTTTGTGTTCTTGAATTTAATGACTTAAATATTAATTTCTATATCACATAATAGCTTCAGAACACTAATAATACAGTACACAAAAACTTTATGGTACTTTAGAAAGTTTTTGTGCCTTTGTGCCTAACATAGAATAGTATATATGCACAATATAGAATTTGAATCAGCCTCGTCAAAGATGGCAGTGTCAGAGCCGATACCGATCCTGAGTATCTAATCGGCGCACTTCTTTTCAACAGTCAAATTGAAATTGAAATTGAAATTGCTTGAAACTCAACAGATACATCACATTTATTAGCCAGTAGACATGTGCAAAGTTTCAGAAACGGCATAGTGCAAGGACTAAATAGCGCCACCTTTTGACAAAAGTGGGGTTGTTAGTTTTATCTACAGTTACAAAAATCGCTATATACATTGTACTCCTCAAGCCGGACAACTTTCTAATACATAGTCATTAGCTCGGACCAAGAGGAAGTCAGATATTTTGGTTTGAATATGGTGAGCCTCTCTCTGAGCCTACGTCCCTGTATGGCAAGCCCTTTTAACATTTAAAAGCTAAGTTTGCCTGTCCGGAATTAACATTGTAGATATCAACAACGTCTTTCTGTCTATTCGTAATTACATTTTGGATAGTTTGTATTATCATTTAAGATATCTGTAACATAATTGTGACTAGTCGAAATGACAGAGTATGGCAAGCCGTTTTAACATTTAATCATAAAAGGGCCAAAGCCTTCGGCACCGCCACCCGGGTGCATTTAGGTAACTAAAGGAACCGGGGTGGCGGTGCCACCGGCTTGGGCCCGCCATCGCTGCTCGCAGCTATATTTTCTGTTTGATGCTACTTTCTTTTATCTTATGTTGTTTATTAAGTAACGATGTGACGGTAGAACGTGTGACAGACAGTTATACGAGTTCGATTTGTGAGATGTCAATCGCCTCCGTGAGTCTGTCTGGCGTCGCGTAATTGCGTCACTTCATAACGTTCCCATGGAAACAGGGGGAAATGGCTGCTCTTGTGTGAAAGCAAACGCAACATTTTTCAACTTTCTGCTAAGATACATGTGACTTTTTTAGCAACGAAAATGCGAGGATTATGAAATTATGCAAACCCTGCATATTTTGCACAGAAATCGGCAATTTATGCGGCGAAAGTGCGGCGTATTTGAAAAAATGCGGCCCCCGCATAAATATGCGGACTTTGGCTGATTTTGCATTGAATTCAGCGATCGCATAATCGCGTTTTTCTGGAGGGACTGACAAATGGATCAACACTAGCATTCTCTGTCAGTGCCATCTTATGTTATTGACCCATTTGGCACTTGGGCATAGGCTTGACTGGAAAGGGAATTTCACTATTAACAGTGTCAGCATACATCAGAGGGTTAGAAGATTATCAGTTTGCATTGCAGCACCAGATGGAAACACATCTATCAGTGTCCTTTTTAGGTCAACCCAGTTTATACAGCAAAGCCATGCTAATTAATTCTCTCACTGCAAATATCTTCCTCATAGTATGACTTTCTAGAACATAATAACAAAAAAAGGAAAACATTTACTAAACCTATCCTACACTGAACTGATGCCCTCTGGTGGCCTTCAATCTGTTCTGCACGGCTAAATACAGTAGTGCGGCTAAAACATCTGGGTCAGAGAGTGGCCCTGAGATAAAAAATTAATGAGCACTGTAGATGGCAGATGGAGTTGTCATAGATACCTGATGTTCGAGATGAGCTGTTGCTGCTCTTCGGTTGTCAATATGTCAGGAAGAACGGAAGCAAGCCAGTCCACCTTCCTCTCAGCAGCAAACTGTTTCAGCACAGCAAAAAGTTTCTCTTTCACCTCTGGATCGTTCCTCAAAATCTCCTCAACCTGAAAAAGGAATGATAGCGATAATGTACACCTTTAAATATACCGATTCATAAAAGCGCATTCAAAGGCTGTCAGATAAACTCCCTCACCCTCCTGTTGAACTCCAGAGCCTTCTGTTTACGGTCCTGACGCAAGCCGTCTGTGTCTTTTCAGAGACCCCTCGATGCATCCGCTGCTGCGTTTCTGACGACTGCCCATGCACAGCACCCCGAGACGCAGTGTTCGGCCCTGAGAGGCCTTTATCAAAGCGGCCGCCATCTCGTGGTGCTTCACAGGGATCCCATTCACCTCCATGACATAATCTCCAGCTCGGAGACCACTGCGACCCGCTGGGGAGCAGGGGGAGCAATCCTCCACCAGCAGGGGGCAGTCTCCCACTATAGTGAATCCAAAGCGACCATCAGGGCCTGGAGTGATATCCATCTGCAGACAGTCAGTGAAATGATATAGATAGAAATGATTAAAATCAAATGTTGTATTTGTTAACATTAATGCTGTCACGGTTCATGAATTCACTGTCTTTCTCTCGTCGTGCGTGCTGCTGTGTGTGTGTGGGCGTGGTCAGTGATCATTGATGATCAGCAGTGCCAGCTGGCTTAAATTTTTTTGTCCCTTTATATGTTCAGAAACTGGCGTCTCATGTTGTCAGATCGGTTTTCCTGGTGTGTTTCCTCTTCCTGTGTTGGAGTTGGATTGTGGATTCGCTGTGTCACCGTCGTCGTTCTCGTTTGGATTCTCCGCACTTTTACTGGATCACCGAGCACCGTCACAAGGAACTTCCATCAGCGTGAACCCTGACTACCCACACCAGAGGGTTATGCAGGTGAACCAGAGTATTGTTCAATACTAACTCTGTGTTCAATGTATTTTTCATTACAGCCGCTGACGTTCAACCAGGAACAGACCAAAGTGGCATTTGTCCTCATGCTGCTGTCGGGCAAGGGGGCTCTTTGGGGAAGAATCAAGACCCATTCTGCACTTCGTTTCCTGGGCACTCTCAGAGGAGATGAGAAGGGTTTTCGTTCGTGTGGTAGCGGGTTGGGAGACGGCCAGACTACTCCCTGATCTCCGCCAACTTAACGGCTCGGTGTCGGAATATTCAATCCAGTTCCGCACCCTGGCTGCAGAGCGAGGAGACGCAGTGGGTCAGATTGCTGCATGGTTTGGCTGATCGTGTCCATTAAAAGATTTATATGCTGCACCTTCCACCCAGCTTGAATGGACTCATTGAACTGGAGCTAAGAGTTGATGCTTGGCCCATGTACGTGGGTAGAGCTCGGCTTTCCCGGGAGGAGAAAGTACGGCGGAGATCCCAAGGATCGTGTCTGTACTGTGGGAGGGCGATCCACTTCATTCACTCATAAAGTAAAAGATCAAGCCTGTGTAACGGAGGCAAGCTAGTAGTTGCTGTGCGAGTAAACCTCACTCCCCTGATCTCAATAGGCGCTCTAGCAACAGCCTCCTTGTTAGAGCGCTTGACTCTCATGCCGGAGACCCGGGTTTGAGGCCCGCTCGGAGCGGGTCGAGTTGGACCCGGGTGGAGGGGTTACACCCGGTAGTAACAATGAGGCCACTATCTTTTTTTTTTTTTTTACATTTATTTATGTAGCACTTTACAACAACCGTCAGGTATCCAAAATGCTTCACGTCATAAAATAAATAAAACAACATGACATACAATAAAAACAGTAAAATCAAAGAAGAAAAGAAAGTTGAAAAGAAACAAGAAAAAGGAAATTATCACACCATCACTGCGTATTGAAAGCCATTTTAAACAGGTGGATTTTAAATTTAGACCTAAAAATCAGACCGTCCTCATCTCCAGCGGGGGCGGGGTCTTTTTGTGGGAAAGAAGGATGGATCCCTGCTACCATGTATTGATTACCTTTACCGAGGGTTGAACAACATCCTTTGCTGTTGATGTCTTCAGCCTTTGTTTGATTCCTTTGTTCAAATGCTTATCATTTGGTTTGAATATTTGGTCATGCCGTTTGGGCTGTCCAACTCCTAAGCAGTTTTCCAGGCACTCGTCAATGACGTGCTGAGAGATATGGTTGACCAATTCATATATGTCTGCCTGGATGACATATTAATTTTTTTCATCTTCTCTACAGGAACACGTTAAGAACGTTAGACGAGTCCTTCAGAGTTTGCTAGAGAATGGGCTTCTTGTCAAGGTGGAGAAATGCGTTTTTCATGCACAGTCTGTTCCTTTCCTAGGGTACATCGTCTAGTCTGAGGAAGTGCGTTTGGATCCTGACAAGGTTAAGGCTGTGATAGATTGGCCAAGTCCAGATTCATGTAAGGCCCTACAGAGGTTTCTGGGGTTTGCCAATGTTTATCACCATTTAATTCGCAACTTCAGCCAACTAGCCGCACCTCTGACTGCCTTGACCTCCCCCAGAACGACGTTCAGGTGGTTTCATGCAGCCAAGGCTGGAGGAACAAACCAAGCCAAGTGAGGCTGTATTTGCCAAACTTAAGAGCCGCTTCGTTTCGGCTCCCCTCCTCATTGCCCCTGATCCATCACATTAGTTTGTGGTGGAGGTCGACACGTCAGAGGTCGGGGTAGGAGCAGTACTGCCAGCGTTCTTCCACAGACGACAAGATGCATCCTTGCACGTTTTTGTCTCCTGCCAAGCATAATTATGACATTGGTAACAGAGAGTTGTTGGATGTCAAATTAGCACTGGAAGAATGGCGTCACTGGTTAGAAGGGTCAGAGGTACCTTTTATTGTATGGACCGATCATAAGAACCTAGAATATATCAGAACTGCCAAAAGACTCAACTCTCTGCAATTTCGGTGGGCACTTTTTTTCGGACGTTTTGACTTTTCACTTTCAACATCAAACCCGATTCTTTATCTCAAATTTTGGACCAATCCGAACGCCCGTCTACACCCAAGTGTAATTTATCCGTGAAGTTAGTTCTCTCCAATCTCAGATGGGAGGTCGATTCGAAGGTCATGACGGCCTTGGAAGGGGTAACACCTCCGCCCGATTGCCCACCGAATCATTTGTTTGTGCCAGAAGAGTGTTGGTCCAACGTTATTCAGTAGGGGCATTATTCCAGCGTGGCCTGTCATCCAGGAAT